TAGCGGTGGTGAACATTGTTTTACAGTGTTCAGTCTCACGCGTCTTGTGCCGTTCGGTGTAGCTATTAAGTAGTTTTAAGCGGTGTTTCTGTTCAAATTATCGCGATTGACTGATTTACTCCAATTGAACGCGATAATCTGAGGTGTACTGGTATTGTACAGCATGCTAGTGTGGACTAGTGTGTCAGTTGACTCACGTCTAGGGACGCCTGGCGTTTGAAGTCTGGTCACAGGAGTGGCAAAAGTTTTGAGTTGTTGACCGGCGAAGAAGCTAGGAAAACACTCTGGGTCACGTGATGTGGCTGTAGGTTTAAGGAGTAAGAGTAACTATTAGTTAAGCTCATACGAGCAGTAATTACAGTTTCCCGATAGGAAGTACAAATAGTTTCTATCAGTGAATTATTGTTAATGAATAGTGCGTGGGAAATTGTGTATTGGTATCGCGTAGGAGAAGTTGTCTCAACGCGGTGAAAGTAATATCGATTATTATCTGTCATAAGAGCAGGCAGATTGAAAAGTAATTACGTTTTTGTTTTGTTTTAGAAGTGACATTGAAATTACCACCCTTGTTAAGTAAAGGGGCTAGTTATAACGACGTTGTGAGTTTTTGTCTTGTTCTCAGTGAATCATTGTTAGTTCCAAAGATTTTTTTTTTTTTTTCAACATTTTTGGGTCAGCGCTAGTCCGGTGAACTAGTCGTTCAGACGTAGTTTATTGGCATCATGAGTTCAGATAGGGCTTTAAGGAGTCAGGGAGGGCTTAGCCAACAGAACCTTCTAGCAATACAGCCGAGACAGGCTGTCCAAGTGGATAGCACGGTTCAAGAGTCAGGTGACGATCCACAAGGTGCAGGTGATGGGGTCACATCAGGTCACATGCTGGGTAGCCGTCCTTTGTCCACCCCTGATACTCTGCAGCCTAATGACATCACCCCTCCCCCACTTCCTCCCAGACCGACCTCCCAACCCAACACCCCAGGGGCGCGGCGGCCTGCACCTTCCCCACATACCCCTCCCCAACCACCCCCCCTCCCACCTTACCCATCCTCAGAAATTAGGAAGCGCCTCTCTGAACCCCTATATGTGAACCTTACGGCAGGGCGCTTACATACGCCTACCCAGGGGTCCACCCAAGGGTCCGGTCAGGTGACTGTCCCCACCAATACCACCCCACCTCTCCCCCCTCGCAACCCCAACCTTGGTCACACGACCAAACCCTCTTCTACCATCTCATGCCTTGCCCAGAACCAACCCCTAGAATCCCCTACCTCACACCACCACCCCACCCAACCCTCCCCCCCACCTGACCATCACTATAACTCTACCTTACACCAACCCTTCCCTCCCCATTACCAACCCTTCCCTAACCATTGCCAACATCTACACTCCATGCCCCCTGCGTCTCATGGTATGCGTCAGCCCCCATTGTCATCATTCTCATTGCCTAGACCAGTGTTACCCAAACTAATTTGCAAAGAATTACCAACAAATATAGTGGAACGTAACCGGAAAATAGACGACTGGCTAGGGCAAGTAGGTTCATGTTTGTCAGCTGCCCAGGATGACTGGGTAAAAATTAATTTAGCAGCAGGAGCGTGTATAGACCCTAATGGTTCAATAATGCAGGACCAAGAGTTTCAATATTTGCAAACATGGCCAGAGTTTGTGTTAGCAATTAAGAGACGATATAAAGAGAAAATAACAGAGGAAACAGCTAATAGGTATTTAGCTAGTTTAAAACGAGGCTCAAACGAAACTCTCAAAGACTTTGGAACTGGCATATTGCGTAGAGTGCGTGACTTGAGGCATGAATTAGGATACGATGACCTGAGAATTAGTCAGAAGGCTAAACAACTGTTGTGTATGTCAATCCCCGGGACACTTGGAGCTCACGTTTCAGCTGCAAGTGTAACGATGGATTACTACAGTTTAATAGAGTACGCTACGGACTTACAGAATATTCAGGGGCAGTGTAAGGATACAACTGACACCAGACAATCCTCTTATGTCCAAGCGGTAGATACGATCAATTTACATCGTGTTAAGGAGAGTGTAGGTAACTCTTCTAGTAACCAGAGGGGAGGGCACCATAGAGCAGGTCCGCCTCCTCACTGGTACTACACCTATGACCCCAGGTGTTGGAGTTGTGGCGGACGAGGCCACAAACGAGATGACTGCCCCAATAGTAAGGAGGAATTATGAGATAAGGCCCCTAAGGAGGAAGGGCGGCCCACTTTTGAAGTGAGGGTGTGCGGGAAGAGGTTGACTGCATTCCTGGACACTGGTAGTCAGGTAACCATCATTAAGATGGACTCATTTAGGACCTTCAGTCAGGTGCGCCTTAAGGAAGGGGGTGCACAATTAACAGCTGTCAATGGTCAACACTTTGACGTTCTGGGAAAATGTATTTTAACTTTTAACATTGAAAAAGATAAACCTTGTATCCATGAGTGTACTGTGGTGGATAATGTAACATTCCCTGGTGATATATTGTTAGGCATGGATTTTTTGAAACGATTTACGTATTCTTTGACATCGGAGAAGGGAGCAAGACACAGTAGGCTACAGTTGGGATCTGTGTCTTTCCCAGTAAAGTTAACTGATCACCCTCCCATAATTGCTTCAATTCAACGAGCACCTAAATATGTAAACCTTCCTAAACAATTGTTCAAGTCTCTTCAAGACCCTGACAAGAAAACATGTAGACTACATGCTGTACACAGACAAGTATGTCCACCACGGTCATTTAAGTTTATTAAAGTCGCCGTAGGAAGAAACATTCAACCCGGAAGTACCCTTCAGGTAGCTGGCAGAATTGATAAGTTGATGATACCATATACTCTGGTATCTGTACATGACAAAGGTGCGATAATACCAGTGGTCAACCTCTCTCACAAACCTTATCGCTTTAGGGTAGGCGATAGTCTGACACAAGGAATTGTGGTAAATTTAAAAGAAATAATAGAGTCAGATACCACACAAACATCGACTGTAACAGCGCAATGTAGCGCATTGAACGTAAGAGACGAGGAGTCACACAGTAAGATCGGTAAAGAAACCCCGTTATCTCCTCAAGATAAGGAAATGGTGGACAAATTAATAACTGCTCTAGATTTGACTCATATGTCACCTGCTGAACGTAAACAGGTACGGGAAGTCCTCCATAAATTTCCTAGGTTATTTGCGACCGAGGATGAGGAAATAGGCTACCTGCCTCAAGTCGAACACACCATTCCAACAGGTGATAATCCTCCGGCCCAAACACGTCAATGGAGACTCCCAGAGCAGGCGAAACAACTTATTAGAGATGAGTGTAGAAAGATGATGAGACAGGGCGTTATAGAAGAGAGCACGTCACCGTGGCTTTCCCCAGTAGTGCTAGTACGCAAACCTGATGGTAGTTACAGGTTCTGTGTAGATTACCGTAAAGTGAACGAAGTGACAACAGCGGACGCTTATCCTCTGCCTCTCATTCAGGAAATCATAGACCAGTTTGGCACAGCTAAGTACTTCTCGACACTTGACGCAAAGTCAGCGTATTGGGCCATACCAGTTGCAAAGCAAGACAGAGAAAAAACAGCATTTTCGGATGGTGTGCGGACTTACCATTTCAAGCGTATGCCATTTGGATTAAAAACAGCTCCTTCATCTTTTCAGAGGGCGATAAATTATATTCTGAGCCCTGTTCTTGGTAGGCACTCATTGGCGTACCTTGATGATGTTGTAGTGTACTCTAGAACTTTTGACGAACACCTCCATGATTTGACAGAGACCTTGTCGCTGTTGAACAAGGCGGGGTTCAAATTGAACGCCCAAAAGTGTACCCTGGCGGCTCAGAAATTCAAGTTTCTGGGTTTTCAGGTAAGCACAGATGGAATACGCCCTGACCCGGACTCTTGTCGCGCTATTGCTGAAATGCCAACACCAAAGACAGCAAAGGACGTGAGAAGATTTCTGGGTGCAGCTGGGTATTTCCGTCGACACATAGAAGGTTTTGCGAGAACGTCAGCTTCACTGACGAATCTCACTAAGAAAAATGTTAAGTTTGTATGGACCCGAGAGCATGATGAGGCTTTTGAGAAGTTAAAATTACAATTGAGTACTACTCCAGTTTTAGCAATTCCTAACTTTGAGAAAGATTGGGAAGTCCACACTGATGCTAGCGGTATTGCCATAGGTGGCTGTTTAATACAGCGTGACTCGGAGAACAACCCGCACCCGGTAGCTTACTTTAGTAGGAAAGTGAAAGGACCGGAAGTAAGGTACTCAGCCACTGACAAGGAAGCTTTAGCTGTAGTAGAGAGTGTAAGGTATTTTGAGCCTTATTTGTTTCAGCGTCACTTCATAATTTATACTGATCATCGAGCATTGACCCACATTTTTAAGAAAAAGACACGTTGCCCGAGAATGACAAGGTGGGGTCACGAACTGTCAGCACACTCGTTTCAGATATTGTATAAGCCTGGTCCATCTCATGTTGTTCCTGATGCGCTAAGTAGGAACATTGCCACCGTCAATATGAATGTAAACATTGAAACGATTGCGAGCGATAAAATGAGAGAACTTCAGATGAAGGAACAGCGATGGAAGGAAATTATTGAACATCTGGAAGGAGGGAAATATCCTGCGAGAAAACAAAGTACCTCTTTAAATGACTTTGCACTCAAAGAAGGAGTGTTGTACCATGTAAATGCCCAGAAAGACAGGGCGTTGTTTCAGCTAGTTATCCCTGACGCATTAAAGCCTTCGGCATTAAAACTTGCGCATGCGTCAAAGATTGCAGGTCACCCGGGAGTGTACAAAACTTACACAAAGGCCAAGTCATTATTTTATTTCCCAGGGTTATTATCACATGTAATTAAGTACGTCAGGTCATGTGGGAACTGTCAACGACGCAAAGGTACTCCTAAAGTACAAGCCCCACTCCAGGAATTCTCAGAGATAACAGAACCCTTGGATCGGGTGGGGGCTGATTTAATTGATTTACATAGCAGCAATTCAGGCAACAGATATGCGCTAGTTCTAGTGGACCATCTGTCCAGGTATACCACTCTAGTAGCCCTTCCCAGGAAAGACCCCCAAACAGTGGCAGATGCATTTTTAGCTAGGTTTGTTACTGTGTTCGGTCCGCCTAAAGTTCTAGTATCTGACAGGGGACAGGAGTTTATTGGTAGTTTATTTCAGGAAGTATGTAAACTCTTAGAGACAACAACAGCGCTAACAACAGCATACCATCCCCAGACGAACGGCATGGTGGAACGAACTAATAGGACGGTGAAGGATATGCTTGCCATTTTAGCAGAGAATGACCCGGCCACTTGGGATGAACAGTTGCCCTTTGTTCAGTTTGCACTAAACACCGCAGTGCACCAGTCAATAAATACTCAACCACTCTTGCTGTTTACTGGACACTCGTGTAATTTTGCGTCAGGTCTGCTTAACAGACATACTATTAGTTATGGAGAGGATTATCCTTCAGAAATCCTCACCAAGATGAAGAATGCATGGAGGATAGCAGCTGAAGCATCAAAGAAAGCAAGGACACGGTATGCCCATTATTATGATAAGCAGGTACAACCATTAAGAGTGAAAGAGGGAAGCCTAGTGATGCGGTTGAATGAGTCAGCGCCCGCCAATCAGAGTAGGAAGTTAGCAGCTAGATGGCGAGGCCCTTATAGAGTTATTAAGAAACTAGGCCCAGTAAATTTCATAATTAAGGGTATATTTGAAGACCAGGTTGAAAGAACCATCCATATAAATAAATTGAAACTTTATGTAGCAAGGGAAGAACTGGAATTACCTTCAGTAATTCCAGTCCCTGAGAGAGTGGAGGGAATGGTTATTCCTGATGCTCAATCGGAGGAGGATGATGACATCCTATCATCCTTACTTAGTAGCCAAGTTAGGCCTGGTCACCCTATGGTCACCAGATCTCGCGCGCACATGAGCGCACAGTAACTGAGTTCAGCTGTCATCTGAGTTATAGGTAGAGGCAAAGAATTGTACTGTAGGTGCTTAGTCAAGAGTGACGTACCTTTACCTACCCTGGAGGAGTTATCTTTCTCAAAACCTCCAGGGCAGATCCAGGTCTCCACCAGACATGAGTTATGAATGTTTCTTTTCCCAGGTCTGCTCACATTGCCACACTGTCGGCCATATCCCATCTCTACAACTGAGGCCAGAGTAGCATGTCACCGCTATTGTCTGGCGGGAACCAGGTTTAGTTCCCGAGGGACAGGACGGGTCACACTACATCACCCCCTCCATCCCTCACCCCCCCACCCTTATTAGTGGTACCTGCCATGGTGGGGGCGGCTACAAGTCAAGGTCACAGCCAACACCTCATCACTTAATGAGGTTATGGAACTGCCAACACTAGCTGTCATCTGGAGGACTGATTCAACATATCAGACGAGACATTAATGAGGTCACCTGCCTTGCTATACAGAACACCGGTGACCGGAAATGAACAGCCAAGAACAACGGAGTGGATTGGGCAACGGTTGCGGGATTACACAAGGTCTTGCCCACTCCTGAGGTTTCTGATGCGCCGAGCAACAAGATGTGAAACTTGGTGGCTACGTAAGAACAGCACGTTCCCTCTAGAGTGTGCATGATACGCCAACGCGGATGCACGATTTGCATCTTGGGCCTACAATCATGTGCATGATGGGATAACGAAGTAAGTCGTAAAGGCCTAGTACGACGTAGCAGAAGAAACACCTGTAAGCGGATGGAACCCAAGAGCTGGAGCCGGGACCCGAGGGTTCTGCCGCCACGCCCACCCCGCCTCAACGAACTGGAGCTGTTCACTCATCAAGCAAGACCTCGTCTGGTGTCAACGTCTCAGTACTCCCAGGAAGGCAACATGTATGCGGCAGGCAGAACATCGCCAGCAGACGTTCAGCAGGCGACAACATCTTACAAGAGGATGGAACCCAGGTACGCCAGAGTTCCCCCTGTGACCGGACAGCAAGTCAATCATCGCTGTCAACACCGACGTCATCGCCTCGTCGACGACCCGGAAGTAGGGACCAGCAGCGCGGATGTACTGCAGATTGTGGACTAGATCAGTGGAAGACTCTAGTCAGGAGGGGAGTGGATCTCTTCTCACAACAACTGAGGCCAGCTGAAGAACATCGTTGGTGAAGAACACGACGCATCGTTGCAGAACTACAGCAAGAATACAGCAATGGGCGAGTCAACAACATCGGGACAACGGACTCGTCGGGAATAAAGACTTTGTTAATTTGTATATACAATATATATGTAATTTTTTTAAGTTCAGAAAACTTGGAGTTCACCGTTACAGAGAAAATAAGTTATGAACGAAAATTTTTGTGTAGACTCTGGTGAACTGGGGAACCAGCGGAAAGATGGTTCCAATATAAATTTAATTGGTCATCATAAATTGTGTTATTTTTTTCAAATGTTGATTGGTCATCTGAGAGGATTGATGGGCTGCCATGCAGGTATGGTCAGCCTGGATTTTGAGTTACCATGGTAACTGTTATTGTTGAGAGTCTTTATAAATATTTCTCGACTGTGAAATGTATATATTTAGATAGGGTAGCTATTTTTTTTTCGAGGCATGTGCTAGTTCCTTTATGGTCTGGGATAAGAAAAGCCATGTTCGAGTTCCTCGCCCACGGTTTTTCTTAAACCGGGACATTGGGGGATATGTAACAAGAGAGCAGTACATAGTACATGAACATCATAACAGCATGAACAGGCCACGTGGAGGATGAACAACCCACAGGCGCCAGTCAGGCGACGGCAGACAATGTAAAAGTTACACCTCTGTATAAGTTAGCCATAGAGTCAGGTCAACGGTCATCGAATCACAAAGAGGTCAGAATTGATGCCGTCATGGTAATCTTCAGGGATTAACCCCTAAACAACAAATGCAAAACCCTCATGTTCAGCTGAGGAGCAGGAGATCAGGAGAGTCAGTTGAGTGGGCACAGCCCAGTAGGGAGGTGTGTGTGGACTCTGGGAAAGAACATCATCTCCAGGGAAACTGTGGAACAACATACGAGTAAGTACGGCTCTCTTGTACTAAAGCACCTCATTCAGTACCCTTGGCCTCTAGTAGGGAATATAGTTAGGGAGTGTCTTATTTAATTATTTCAAATAAAGTCAGATATTAAGTGTTATTAAATGTGTATTAATGGTTCCTTGCTTTAGTGATATTGGGCCTACCGTCCCCTTTGCCCTAGTGACCTAGTGCTCTTAATTATTCAGTACTCCTCCCCCGTTCGTCTTCCGTGTTGAGGTATTAGTGTTGGTGTGTCCCGCCTTATTCTGGTGTACACTATAGTTCCCAAGTGGTCAGGATTATTCGAGTGTCAGGCCAGGATCCTTGTACCGTTCAATTGTCCCCTACACCTGTCCTGGTAGGTTACTCCATCTGCAAGACCTACGACTCTCACTCCGGTCCCCTGTCCGGTAACTCAGGGTGGTGGCAGCGTCACTCGGTAACTCATACGATAGGTTGTGACTACGATTATCTCTATCTTTCTGTCTCACTCTCCCTCACTAGTGTCTCACTCTCCCTCGCCCTCACTCGCTCTCGTTCTCCCTCCCTTGCTCTCGTTCTCGCTCTCCTCTCTCTCTCCTCTCGCTCTGCCTCCCTCTTCCTCTCTCTCTCCTTCCTCTGTGTACTGGTTTACGTCTTCGTATGACGGCCCGAGTGTTAACATCTTATATGATCGGTATAGCATCTGTTATTACCATAGAAAGAGCGGAGATTGCACGGTTAGCTCAGTGGTAGTAGCGGAGTGCGCGGTCGAGATAGATACAAGGCGAGGTATTACAATCAGGGTCATTACACGAGTCCTGTGCTGGAACAAAACTAACTTTGCGGTGCCTTGGAACTAAACGATAAATATTTCAAGGACTTTTTTAGAGAAATTTAATTAAAAATTGATAAAATGAATAAAAAAATATGTGATCTCACCAGTTTATTGTACTGGTTAATGCTGCCCAAAACAGTGTACTTGATCAAGGAGACACCAGAGGAAGTGTGTGTTCCCAGGCCGGGCTGTGCTTGTCGGCCAGGAAGGTTACTACTGGAATAAAACCATTTATACTTGATACAATACATAGGCCTAAAATGTAGGCCTATGTAGGCCTATCTCCTTGGTCTCCATCGTGTTTACCACCATTCTGTGTGGGAGGAACATTGGCAGTGAGGGGCCTCCTTGTGTGTGAGTGAGGTGTGTGTGTGTGTGTGTGTGTGTGTGTGTGTGTGTGTGTGTGTGTGTGTGTGTGTGTGTGTGTACTCACCTAGTTGTGTTTGCGGGGGTTGAGCTCTGGCTCTTTGGTCCCGCCTCTCAACCGTCAATCAACTGGCGTACAGGTTCCTGAGCCTATTGGGCTCTGTCATATCTACACTTGAAAAAGTGTATGGAGTCAGCCTCCACCACATCACTTCCTAATGCATTCCATCTTTCTAATATCTCTGTGGCTCATTTGGGCACTCAGTTTCCACCTGTGTCCCCTAGTGCGTGTGCCCCTTGTGTTAAAAAGTCTGTCTTTATCTACCCTATCAAGTCCTCTGAGAATCTTGTATGTGGTGATCATGTCCCCTCTAACTCTTCTGTCTCCCAGTGACGTGATGTTTAATTCCCGTAGTCTCTCCTCGTAGCTCATACCTCTCAGCTCGGGTACTAGTCTGGTGACAAACCTTTGAACCTTTTCCAGTTTAGTCTTATGCTTGACTAGATATGGACTCCATGCTGGATCCGCATACTCCAGGATTGGTCTGACATATGTGGTATATAATGTTCTGAAAGAGTCCTTACACAAGTTTCTAAAGGCCGTTCTTATGTTAGCCAACCTGGCATATGCCGCTGATGTTATCCTCCTGATATGAGCTTCAGGGGACAGGTCTGGCGTGATATCAACCCCCATGTCTTTCTCTCTCTCTGACTCTTGAAGTATTTCATCTCCCAAATGATACCTCGTATCTGGTCTCCTGCTCCCTACCCCTATCTTCATTACATTATATTTGTTTGGGTTAAACTTTAACAACCATTTGTTCGACCATTCCTGCAGCTTGTCCAGGTCTTCTTGAAGCCTCAAGCTGTCCTCCTCTGTCTTAATCCTTCTCATAATTTTGGCGTCGTCAGCAAACATTGAGAGGAATGAGTCTATACCCTCTGGGAGATCATTTACGTATAGGATAGGTCCGAGTACAGAGCCCTGTGGGACTCCACTGGTGACTTCACGCCAATCTGAGGTCTTGCCCCTCACTGTAACTCTCTGCTTCCTATTGCGTAAGTACTCTCTTATCCACTGGAGCGCCCTACCAGTTACTCCTGCCTGTTTCTCCAGCTTATGCATCAGCCTTTTATGGGGTACTGTGTCAAAGGCTTTCCGACAGTCCAAAAAAATGCAGTCTGCCCATCCTTCTATTTCTTGCTTAATCTTTGTCACCTGATCGTAGAATTCTATTAAGCCTGTAAGGCAAGATTTACCCTCCCTGAACCCATGTTGATGGGTTGTCACGAAGTCCCTTCTCTCCAGATGTGTTACTAGGTTTTTTCTCACAATCTTCTCCATCACCTTGCATGGTATACAAGTTAAGGACACTGGCCTGTAGTTCAGTGCCTCTTGTCTGTCACCCTTTTTGAATATTGGGACTACATTAGCAGTCTTCCATATTTCTGGTAGGTCTCCCGTTTCCAGTGACCTACTATACACTATGGAGAGTATCAAACAAAGTTCTCCTGCACACTCTTTCAATACCCACGGTGAGATTCCGTCCGGCCCAACAGCCTTTCTCACGTCTAGCTCCAATAGGTGCCTCTTGACCTCATCTTTTGTAATTTCGAACCCTTCCAAGGTCGCCTGGTTTGCTGCCACCTCTCCTTGTTCTATTGTAAAGACCTCTGGAACCTTTTGCTGAGTTCTTCACACACATCTTTGTCATTCTCTGTGTACCTGTCCTCACCCGTTCTAAGTTTCATCACCTGTTCCTTCACTGTTGTCTTCCTCCTGATGTGACTGTGTAGAAGCTTTGGTTCGGTCTTTGCTTTATTAGCTATATCATTTTCATACCTTTTCTCAGCTGCTCTTCTCACACTAACATACTCGTTCCTGGTTCTCTGGTATCTCTCTCTACTTTCTGGTGTTCTGTTATTACGGAAGTTCCTCCACGCCCTGTGTGTGTGTGTGTGTGTGTGTGTGTGTGTGTGTGTGTGTGTGTGTGTGTGTGTGTGTGTGTGTGTGTGTGTGTGTGTGTGTGTGTGTGTGTGGGCCCCCCAACAGAAACAAACATTCTGACGGCTAACTTCAGCTGGACTAAAATATCTATTATTATTATTATTAACATCTTTATTGACAAAATTTAATTAAAATTTTGGCTAATCTGAGGATTTCAATTAAGT